AGTTCTTCTAAAACTCGCTCTGAGTTATTAACTCGTTAAGAGTTATTTTCAAACTTACCACGCAAGTTCTCCACAACATCAAATCGTGAGGAGAAGACCACGTTCCAGTGAATCAAGACATTCGGATCGTCAACGTAGAGCAAACTCGACGCGAGCATTCGAGGAAGGCACTCCATCGCTACCTTGAAGAACCCAGTTTTAAACAAAAGGGAGAATCAAACTCATTCTCCTCTCTTTTGTAATCGGAATCCAATTGTAATTGAAATCGAGAGAATAAAAATCAAATTTCTTTCATTTTTATTTACTACAAATTTTCCACCAAACAAAACACTTACGCGATGAGGAGCAACAAAGAGTGTTTGATGCGCCAGAGGAAATGAGCTGAAGAAGCTTCCTTAGAGAGCGAGGAGGATATGCATCGCGACTACCCATACCTGTTCGAGCAGGTATATTGTTAACTATAGTATTAGTTGTGTGCATTTTATCTATATAGCCGCATTTTTACATTTCACACTGGAATGTGAGCATTAACACTTAACAACTAATCATTCGGAACATATGATATATACATGGGGTTCCTTGTTTGGATTTTTCGCCCAACATACTAGTTCCGTTTAATTAGAGGTTAAGTGGAAGTATTTACATTCTAGATATTAAGTGTAAATATTGCGTATATGACACCTGTTTTGTGATTTATAATTATTTGCTGAATTTTGGGGATGAAATTCTCTTTAAGGAGGGATGAATGTAAAACCCCGTAATTTTAAAAATATTATGGTAAATAATATTAAATGAGTTTTATTATGGCTGATATTGTTATGGGATGAATGAACATGATTGTAATCAATTTGAAATCGATTAAGTATATATATATATATATATATATTATATATATATAGTTGGTTGTGTGTGTGTGTGTGTGTTGTGTGTGTGTGTGTGTGTGTGTGTGTGTGTGTGTGTGTAAAATGTGTATGAGCATGAAACCTATCGGCTAAAATCATCGTTGGTCGGTCGACCGACCTTGCAATCAGTCGACCGATGGACATTGGTCGGTCGACGCGACTCTAGCAATCAGTCGACCAATAGGTGCACGGTTTGGGTTTTTCGGGTTGTCAATTAGGCCTGTTTGAAACACATGTAATTATATATATATATATATATATATATATATATATATATAATATATATATATATATATATATATATATATATAATATATATATATATATATTAAAATATATATATATATATATATATATATATATATATGTATATAACCCGATTTTTCTCCTCTTTTCTTCTGTATTTCCCACGTTGATCAGCATCCACTCTCCTCTCAAACCCCAAATTCATCAATTTTAGTATTTGGAGAGCTTTGAGAAGCAAAAAGACCAAGAGGAAGGCAAGGTCGGCGGTTTCGGTGAGGGAGGATTGAGTTCCTTGCGTGTGTGGGAGTTCAGCATGAAATTTTTTAGGCGAGTTTTATCTCCTCCAATCTCATCTCTGTTTTCTTGGTTTTATTTGGATTTTAAAAACTTATTTTATGTGTAAAGATCACCCCTTTTATCTGTATAACGTAAAGATTTGATCTTTCTGATTTAAAAAAAATTATAAAACAGATTCTTTGATTTGGGTTTAATATTTGAAATAGATCTAACATGAAATTTTGTTAAAGTTATTTGTTATCATGAGGATTTTACAAATATGATCATGCTAGGGTTATTAGAATTCCCCCAAATCTTTATATTTGTGATTTCATGTAGTAAAGTAAACCCTAAATACCCTAAATCAAGTTTTATTCATGTGTTCTTTTGAAAATTTTGATTTTTGAAAGTGTAGAGAAAATCTATCATCTTTGAATCGTCACCAAGTTCGGTCGACTAATCAGAATGATCGGTCGACCGAATTGGTTCTCAGGAGCTGAAATCATAACACTAATCGATCGACCGATATAGGTATTCGGTCGACCGATTTAGGTTGGGTTGTGTGTGCATGTTTGTCGCCGCCGGTCTACCAATGGGCTATGTCGGTCGACCGATTTGAGCTGTTTTGCACAAGTTGTTTTACCATGTGCTTTTGATCGCGAACACGAAGTGCGAGTCGCACGTCGACACACGTGCGAGACCATGAGAGGACATGTGCTGGATTTGAGCACGCACGAGCCTATTGATACGCGTAGTCTAAAATTTTGAGCTTGTCACGATAGGGAATAGCGTTTGTTTCATTTTACAGTGATTTTAGATGCTTGGGTGGGGTTAGTTGGTGCACCACAAGAGACCATGGTTAACTACACTCAGAGTACGTTAGTTGGTGTACTGCAATGAGACCGCAGTGGACTACACTCCGTTATGCATCATTGTGTTCTGGATTAGGCTGATATGCCTATACTCCGCACGGTGTTCGAGTAAGGTAGTGAACCATAAAATATTGCGATGAGCCCACAGGATATTGTGAGTGCCTATACTCCACACCATTTTCTTTGTAGGGAATCATACAAAATTGTAATTTGCCCCTGTGTTACCTACCTCGAGGGTAGAGTATAAGGCTATGGGTTGTTATGTACTACGTATCCTAAACGAGATCTTTTACTGAATATTTATTTTTGTTCCCGCGCCAACTACCAGAGGGAAATGTGAGTTGTTATGATACGATTTGTTATGGATGAGGCTTGGTAATGTATTGTTCTTTGTTAATTATTGTATTCATAGGATTTTGAGTTGATATTTAGTGATCCACAATTTGTGATACATGGTATATATATGAGGGTTTTCTTGTTTGGATTACTTCACTCGACGTACTCATTTTCGTGTTTTGGATTTCTAAATATTAATTCCTCTTAGTTCAGGATGTAGGATTTATCTATTAACTTGTATTTTTATATACCTAACCTCATTTCCCTAGGGTCGGTGGAGATGTCCTCGCTAACTCTTTGATGCTCGTTGTTTTTATTTTTTTAGGCAGCGAGTCAAGGGTTCGAAGGGTTGCAGGTGACGGAGACTCAGCATAGTTCGTCGTTATTTATTAGTAGCTAATTAGTGCTCCACAATAGACATTTATGATTATATTTTCCTTATAGAGATGTATTTCATTTTGGAGGTTGAGTGTCTATATACTTTTCATTTGACTCTTTTGTATTAGAGACTCGTTGTTTTATTCCAATTTACCAGGTGTATTTTCTTTTCTTTTGTTAGAACATACTTATAAATGTTATTGGATATTTCTCTATATTGTGTTCCTTGTATTATCATCTTTACTATATCTGCTTATACCCTCACTTCTTGTATTTGATTCTGCTAGAGAGATATTACTATGATAGTAAAACATGTTGTCGCACAGAGTTGAGTGCATGGCAGGTTTGACATCTTTGGGTTCACCTTGGGCTGCAGCCATGTGTGAAACCAGGAGCATCACAGTTACATGTCGAAATAATCAAGAGTTCGATATTTTACAAGATAGAAAGTATATGGGACTTCTTATCATCTGCTTTCCATCATGGCTTATGATGTAGTAACAGTGTAGGTTTCTATCCTAACTTCATAATATGCTTCTGTTTATCAGGACGTTTGGACATCGCTGGATCCGTTTATCGTACAGGCAGTAATGTGCTTATAAAATTGGTGGATGTCTGAAAAGAGGCATCAAAACATCGACCGTTTTGCTATTATTAAAGATAGACTTTAAGATTTGTGATAGCAGATGTTACAAAACAATAGTAGAAAGCTATTTGTAAATTGGAATTGTAAATCTGCAATAAATTAATTTGAAAGAGTTGTAAATGATGTTGATATAAATGGGTAGGTGCCAACCTACTTAAGATGTATTCATCTATAGTGATGCCATAATTTCTAAAAAATATTATAATTATAAGCGATTAATAATAAAATAGAATTTATTTCTGATATTTACATTTCTCTAAAAATTTATAAATTATATAATTCTATATGATTAATAATAATATTAAATTTTTTTGTAAAAAATCACATTTTTTTAAACATTTGAAGTTACATCTTTTTTTTTGCAAAAAATCCCTTTTTTCGCAAAAAATCAAATTTTTTGCACAAAATGAAGATGAAAACAGTTAGGCGGACCCGGTGCCCGACCCGCA